AGTTTGATGGAGAAGTTAGAATAATAGAATCCTAGAATTGGAAGGGATTCCCGAAGGCCGTCTAGTCCAACCCTTTCCTGCCAGTCAGGAAGGCACCATCCAAGCCCTCCTGACAGATGGCCATCCAACCTCTTAGATATTAGTAGTCTTATGAAGAAGTTAGACTATATAGAATCCTAATCCTAGAGTTGAATGAGGTTCCCCAAAGGCCATCTAGTCCAACCCTTTTCTGACAGTTTGAAAGGCACCATCCAAGCCCTCCTGACAGATGGCCAACCAAGTTCTCATAATTATAATAATAGCAATAACACATATCTGTAAACAGACATGTGGTCTCAAATATATTATATTATATTATATTATATTATATTATATTACATTATTTACAGCATTTATATACCACTTTTCTCACCCCTAGGGGGTGACTCAAAGCAGTTTTATATTAATATTATATTTTTATAATATTATAAAATGATATTATATTATATTTTCCTTTGCAGGCGGCAACCCCGAAGAAGACATTCCCCGAAAGCCCAAAAACCATTGAAAGCAGAGAGAAAAGAGTTCCTTCCAAGGCGAAGGAGAGCGGGGTGACCCTGTAAATAGAGACGTTTTATATACAAACCCTATTGTCTTTTTTTCGTACATATTTATTTGTATTTATTTGTACAGGTTTCCTTCCTATGAAGTCTTGTATATTGGAGGCTGGACAGCTATCTGTCAGGAGGGATCGAATGGTGTCTTAAATGGCAGAACGGAGTTGGCCTGGATGGCCTTTGGGGGGTCCCTTCCAATTCTGGGGTCCCATGATACATGTATCATATCTCTCTCAGTTATATCTATCTATGGATGAATGGCCATCTGTCAGGAGGGCTTTAATGGTGTCCTCTTAAATGGCAGAATGGGGTTGGGCTGGATGGCCTTTGTGGGCCCCTTCCAACTAGGATTCTATGATAATCTATCATATCTCTCTCAGTTCGATCTATGACTGGATGGCCATCTGTCAAGAGGGATTAGATGGTGTCTTCTCAAATGGCAGAACGGGGTTGAGCTAGATGGCCTTTGGGGGGTCCCTTCCAATTCTGGGGTCCTATGATACATGTATCATATCTCTCTCAATTATATCTATCTATGGCTGGATGGCCATCTGTCAAGAGGGATTGGATTGTAACGGGGTTGAGTTGGATGGCCTTTGGGGTTCCCTTCTAACTCTATGATTCTGTAATACGTCTATCCTATATATCACAGTTCTATCTATCTATGGCTGGATGGCCATCTTTCAAGAGGGATCGGATGGTGTCTTAAATGGCGGAATGGGGTTGGGCTGGATAATAATAATAATAATAATAATAATAATAATAATAATAATGACCTTTGGGGTTCCCTTCCAACTCTATGATTCTGTAATACGTCTATCCTATATATCTCAGTCATATCTATCTATGGCTGGATAGCCATCTGTCAAGAGGGATCGGATGGTGTCTTCTCAAATGGCAGAACGGGGTTGGATAATAATAATAATAATAATAATAATAATAATAATAATAATAATGGCCTTTGGGGTTCCCTTCCAACTCTATGATTCTATAATACGTCTATCATCTCTCTCTCAGTTCTATCTATCTATGGCTGGATGGCCATCTGTCAAGAGGGATCGGATGGTGTCTTAAATGGCAGAATGGGGTTGGGTTGGATAATAATAATAATAATAATAATAATAATAGCCTTTGGGTATCCCTTCCAATTCTGGGGTTCTATGATACATGTATCATATCTCTCTCTCAGTTTATATCTATCTATGGCTGGATGGCCATCTGTCAAGAGGGATCGGATGGTGTCTTAAATGGCAGAATGGGGTTGGGTTGGATAATAATAATAATAATAATAATAATAATAGCCTTTGGGTATCCCTTCCAATTCTGGGGTTCTATGATACATGTATCATATCTCTCTCTCAGTTTATATCTATCTATGGCTGGATGGTCATCTGTCAAGAGGGATCGGATTGTGTCTTCTCAAATGGCAGAACGGGGTTGGACTAGAAGGCCTTTGGGGTTCCCTTCCAACTCTATCATTCTGTAATATATCTATCATATCTCTCCCAGTTCTATCTATCTATGGCTGGATGGCCATCTGTCAAGAGGGATCGGATGGTGTCTTCTCAAATGGCATATCGAGGTTGGGCTGGATGGCCTTTGGGGTTTCCTTTCAGGCTTGGATGTCCTTGCCCATGAGCTGCCAATCAAGAACTTTATGTCCCGCCTTCCCGAGATACACAATTAAATATTTAATTTGCATATTAAATATTAATATGCAAATGCAATGGAAGTATAAACAATATTTAAGCAATATATAGATAGGGTATATAGGTAATATTTATTAATAGTGAGAAGAGTATGTAAACAAACATGATAATAGTATAGAATATAGATATAGATATATCTAAACACGTGCAATGGATATAATTATTACAAGAGATATATAAACAAAGGAAATCAGTACGATATATGTAAGCAATATGTAGATAGAGTATATTGAGGATGAGGAAGACCTTGAGCATGAAGAAGGCTTTGAGGACGAACTGGAGGATGAGGAAGACCTTGAGGACCAAGAAGAACTTGAGGATGAAGAACTCGAGGAAGACCTTGAGGAGGAAGGTTTTGAGGAAGGGTTTGAGGATTAAGAAGATCCTGAGGGTGAAGAACTTGAGGAAGACCTTGAGGAGGAGGGAGGTTTTGAGGAAAGCATTGAGGACTAAGAAGATCTTGAGGGTGAAGAACTTGAGGAAGACCTTCAGGATGAAGAAGAACTTGAGGAAGACCTTCAGGATGAAGAAGAACTTGAGGAAGACCTTGAGGAGGAGGGAGGTTTTGAGGAAAGCATTGAGGACTAAGAAGATCTTGAGGGTGAAGAACTTGAGGAAGATCTTCAGGATGAAGAAGAACTTGAGGAAGACCTTGAGGAGGAAGGAGGCTTTGAGGAAGGGTTTGAGGATTAAGAAGATCCTGGGGGTGAAGAACTTGAGGAAGACCTTCAAGATGAAGAAGAACTTGAGGAAGACCTTGAGGAGGAGGGAGGGTTTGAGGAAGGTTTTGAGGATTAAGAAGATCCTGAGGGTGAAGAACTTGAGGAAGACCTTCAGGATGAAGAACTTGAAGATTTTGAGGAGGAGGGAGGTTTTGAGGAAAGCTTTGAGGATTAAGAAGTTCTTTGAGGGTGAAGAACTTGAGGAAGACCTTCAGGATGAAGAAGAACTTGAGGAAGACCTTCAGGATGAAGAAGAACTTGAGGAAGACCTTGAGGAGGAGGGAGGTTTTGAGGAAAGCATTGAGGACTAAGAAGATCTTGAGGGTGAAGAACTTGAGGAAGACCTTCAGGATGAAGAAGAACTTGAGGAAGACCTTCAGGATGAAGAAGAACTTGAGGAAGACCTTGAGGAGGAGGGAGGTTTTGAGGAAGGTTTTGAAAGAAGATCCTGAGGGTAAAGAATATGAGGAAGACCTTCAGGATGAAGAAGAATTTGAGGAAGACCTTGAGGAGGAAGGAGGCTTTGAGGAAGGGTTTGAGGATTAAGAAGATCCTGAGGGTGAAGAACTTGAGGAAGACCTTCAGGATGAAGAAGAATTTGAGGAAGACCTTCAGGATGAAGAAGAACTTGAGGAAGACCTTGAGGAGGAGGGAGGTTTTGAGGAAAGCATTGAGGACTAAGAAGATCTTGAGGGTGAAGAACTTGAGGAAGACCTTCAGGATGAAGAAGAACTTGAGGAAGACCTTCAGGATGAATAAGAACTTGAGGAAGACCTTGAGGAGGAGGGAGGCTTTGAGGAAAGCATTGAGGATTAAGGAGATCCTGAGGGTGAAGAACTTGAGGAAGATCTTGAGGATGAAGGCTTTGAGGAAAGCATTGAGGATTAAGGAGATCCTGAGGGTGAAGAACTTGAGGAAGACCTTCAGGATGGAGAAGAACTTGAGGAAGACCTTGAGGAGGAAGGAGGCTTTGAGGAAGATTTTGAGGATTAAGAAGATCTTGAGGGTGAAGAACTTGAGGAAGACCTTCAGGATGAAGAAGAACTTGAGGAAGACCTTGAGGAGGAGGGAGGCTTTGAAGAAAGCATTGAGGATTAAGAAGATCTTGAGGGTAAAGAATATGAGGAAGACCTTCAAGATGAAGAAGAACTTGAGGAAGACCTTGAGGTCTAAGAAATCTTTGAGGAAGACCTTCATGATGAAGAATGCTTTGAGAAAAACCTTGAAGATGACAAAGGCTTTGAGGATGAAAAAGACCTTGAGGAAGACTATGAGGATGAGGAAGACCTTGAGGGTGAAGACTTTGAGGATGAGGAAGACATTGAGGAAGGCCTTGAGGATGAAGAAGACCTTGAGGACCAAGAAAAACTTGAGGATGAAGAAGGGAGGCTTTGAGGAAAGCTTTGAGGATTAAGAAGATCCTGAGGGTGAAAAACTTGAGGAAGACCTTCAGGATGAAGAAGAACTTGAGGAAGACCTTGAGTTCTAAGAAATCTTTAAGGAAGACCTTCACGATGAAGAATGCTTTGAGAAAAACCTTGATGACAAAGGCTATGAGGATGAAAAAGACCTTGAGGAAGACCTTGAGGATGAGGAAGACATTGAGGAAGGCCTTGAGGATGAAGAAGGCCTTGAGGATGAAGAAGAACATGATAAAGCAGGCTTTGTGGATGAAGAAAACCTTAAGGAAGATCTTGAAGACAAAGCAAACCTTGAGGAAGATCTTGAAGAGAAGAAAGACATTGAGGATGAGGAAGAAGACTGTGAAGAAGACCTTGAGGACAAAGAATGCTTTGAGAAATACTTTGAGGACGAAGAAGACCTTGAGGAAGGCCTTGAAAAAGACTTTCTGGACAAAGAAGGCCTTGAGGACAAAGACCTTGAGGAAAAGGAAGGTCTTGAAGATGAAGAAGAACTTGAGGAAGATCTTGAGGATGAGGAATGCTTTGAGGAAGCCTTAAGGATGAAGAAGATGTTGAGGATGAAGGACTTGAGGAAGACCTTGAGGTTGAAGAAGGCGTTGAGGAAGGCCTTGAGGATGAGGGTCTTGAGGATGAAGAAAACCTTGAGGAAGACCTTGAGGAGAAGAAAGACATTGAGGATGAGGAAGACCTTGAGGATGAGGAAGGTCTTGAGGATGAAAAAACCTTGAGGGAGACCTTGAGGAGAAGAAAGACATTGAGGATGAGGAAGACCTTGAGGAACACCTTGTGGATGAGGAAGACCTTGAGGAAGACTGAGGATGAAGAAAATCTTGACTAAGAAGACCTTGAGGATGAGGAAGATCTTGAGAAAACCCTTGAGAACAAAGAAAAACTTGAGGAAGACCTTGAGGAGAAGGAAGACATTGAGGACAAGGAAGACCTTGAGTAAGACCTTGAGGATGAGGAAGACCTTGAGGAAGACTGAGAATGAAGAAAATCTTGACTAAGAAGACCTTGAGGATGAAGAAGATATTGAGAAAACCCTTGAGAACGAAGAAAAACTTGAGGAAGACCTTGAAGACAAGGAAGGCGTTAATGATGAAGAAGACCTTGAGGATGAAGAAGATCTTGAGTCTTTGGGGGCTACTTCATTCTCAAGATCTTGAGAATGAAGTAGCCCCCAAAGACTCATGCTCTCAGTCTCCGGCGTTGATCCTTTTGGTGTAGCTCTGGATGGACATTTGGAAGTGCTGGTTGGTGTTGAGCTCAGGGCGGAAGAGGATGAGGAAGACCTTGGGGCCAAAGTATCCGGCAGAGATCCCTCCGAGGGCCACCAAGAGGGAGGCCACGTACATGGCGCTCAGGTACCTCCCCAGGTAGACGCTGCTGATGATGACGTATGAGATGGAGGAGGCAAAGTAGACCATGACGCTGAAGGTCAGGCACTTGGCCTCTGAGTAGCTGCTGGGCAGGTCCTTGCCGAGGTAGCTCAGGCCAAAGCAGGAGACCCCCAGGAAACAGTTGTAGACCTGTCCCACCACCATCGGGATCGAGTCTTCCGAGCCGCAGAGAAGGAAGATCGACGTCGCCGAAAGGCTGTAATCTCGGCGCGGGAGCGGATGTTCGGTGGCGAAGGAGATGACGACCATGAGTCCCTGTAGCCCGGTGAGGGTGACGACGAGAACCACGGGACCCTTGACCCGGCGCCAAATGTCGTAGAGTCCCCCGGCGGCCTTGAAGATGAGGACGATCTGGATGGAGCGGGTCAGCATGCAGGACAGGCACAGGCTCAAGCTGATGCTGTACAGTGGTGTCCGCAGCAAGCAGCCCAGGCTCCCCGGTGGGCCGAAGTGGCCGTAGAGGCTGAGGGTGGCCCCGGCCAGGGCACCCAGCATGGCCAAGGAAAACGGGCCCCCCGCCGACCTCACCACCGGCGTCCCCAAGTGGTAGACAAAGAGGGCGGCCGTGCAGGCCAGCAGGAAGAGGAGCAAGCAGGTCGAGGTCAGCAAGGCCAGAGAGACGGGGTCGGAGAACGGCAGGAACACCATTTCGCGAGCCAAGCACGACTCACTCCCGGACGGGGACCACTCCTCCCTCCGGCACTTCTGGCACGTGTAGGGATCTGGATGGGGAGAGCAGAAACATATGATTAGAGCATATACGGTGGTGCCTCGCGACTTCGCGGTTCGTTAGAGCATATACAGTGGTGCCTCACGACTTCGCGGTTCGTTAGAGCATATACGGTGGTGCCTCGTGACTTTGCGGTTCGTTAGAGCATATACGGTGTTGCCTCGTGACTTCGCGGTTCGTTAGAGCATATACGGTGGTGCCTCGTGACTTCGCGGTTCGTTAGAGCATATACGGTGGTGCCTTGCGACTTTGCGGTTCGTTAGAGCATATACGGTGGTGCCTCGCGACTTCGCGGTTCGTTAGAGCATATACGGTGGTGCCTCGCGACTTCGCGGTTCGTTAGAGCATATACGGTGGTGCCTCACGACTTCGCGGTTCGTTAGAGCATATACGGTGGTGCCTCGCGACTTCGCGGTTCGTTAGAGCATATACGGTGGTGCCTCGCGACTTCGCGGTTCGTTAGAGCATATACGGTGGTGCCTCGCGACTTCGCGGTTCGTTAGAGCATATACGGTGGTGCCTCGCGACTTCGCGGTTCGTTAGAGCATATACGGTGGTGCCTCGCGACTTCGCGGTTCGTTAGAGCATATACGGTGGTGCCTCGCGACTTCGCGGTTCGTTAGAGCATATACGGTGGTGCCTCGCGACTTCGCGGTTCGTTAGAGCATATACGGTGGTGCCTCGCGACTTCGCGGTTCGTTAGAGCATATACGGTGGTGCCTCGCGACTTCGCGGTTCGTTAGAGCATATACGGTGGTGCCTCGCGACTTCGCGGTTCGTTAGAGCATATACGGTGGTGCCTCGCGACTTCGCGGTTCGTTAGAGCATATACGGTGGTGCCTCGCGACTTCGCGGTTCGTTAGAGCATATACGGTGGTGCCTCGCGACTTCGCGGTTCGTTAGAGCATATACGGTGGTGCCTCGCGACTTCGCGGTTCGTTAGAGCATATACGGTGGTGCCTCGCGACTTTGCGGTTCGTTAGAGCATATACGGTGGTGCCTCGCGACTTCGCGGTTCGTTAGAGCATATACGGTGGTGCCTCGCGACTTCGCGGTTCGTTAGAGCATATACGGTGGTGCCTCGCGACTTCGCGGTTCGTTAGAGCATATACGGTGGTGCCTCGTGACTTTTCGCTTTTCTCGGACTCACTGTTTCGCGGTTTTTCAATATGGACTTAAGAGTGCTTCTCTGTCCGGAGAGGTTTCTCTGCGGATAAAGACAGAGCCGAGAATGACATGAACAACACATTCAAAGAGTGTGTCAGTGTGCGGGGAGGGTTTATACGGTGGTCCCCCACGACTTCGCGGTTCACTTTTCGCGGTTTTTCAATATGGACTTAAGAGTGCTTCTCTGTCCAGAGAGGTTTCCTCTGTGGATAAAGACAGAGCCGAGGAGGACATGAACAACACATTCAAAGAGTGTGTAAGTGTGCGGGGAGGGTTTATACGGTGGTCCCCCGCGACTTCGCGGCTCGCTTTTCGCGGACTCACCTCTTTCGCGGTTTTTCAATATGGACTTAAAAGCGCTTCTCTGTACAGAGAGGATGCCTCTGCGGATAAAGACGGAGCGAGCATGACATGAAGAACACATTCAAAGAGTGTGTAAGTGTGCGGGGAGGGTTTATACAGTGGTCCCCTGCGACTTCGCGGTTCACTTTTCGCGGACTCAATATTTCGCAGTTTTTCAATATGGACGTAAGAGCGCTTCCCTGTCTGGAGAGGCTGCCTCCGTGGATAAAGCCGGAGCCGAGGATGACATGAACAACACATTCAAGGAGTGTGTAAGTGTGTGAGGAAAGTAGAAGGAAGGAGAGAAGGAAAGAAAGAAAGAAAGAAGAGTAGAAAAGGAAGGCAGGAGAGAAAGAGGGAAAGAAGGAGGGAAGAAGAGAAAGAAGGAAAGAACTCAAGAAGGGTAGAGAAGGAAGGACGGAGAGGAGAGAAAGAAGAATGGAGAGAAGGAAGGAAAGAAAGAAGGGTAGAGAAGGAAGGAGAGAAGGAGGGAAAGAATGAGGGAAGGAGAGAAAGAAGGAAAGAAAGAAAGAAGGGTAGAGAAGGAAGGACGGAGAGAAGGAGGGAGAGAAAGAGGGAAAGAAGGAGGGAGAGAGAAAGAAGGAAGGAAGGGTAGAGAAGGAGAGAAAGAGGGAAGGTGGGAAGAAAGGAAGGAAGGAAGGAAGGATAGAGAAGGAAGGAGAGAAGGAGGGAGAGAAGGAGAGAAAGAATGAGGGGGGAGAGAAAGAAAGAAGAAGAGAAGGAGGGAGAGAAAGAGGGAAAGAAGAAGGGAAAGATGAGGGAAGGAGAGAAGGAAGGGAAGAAAGGTAGAGAAGGAGGGAAAGAATGAGGGAAGGAGAGAAGGAAGGTAAGAAAAAATGGTAGAGAAGAAAGGAAAGAAGGAGGGAAGGAAAGAAAGAAGGGTAGAGAAGGAAAGAAGAAGAGAAGGAGGAAGAGAAAGAGGGAAAGAAGAAGGGAAAGAAGGAGGGAAGGAGAGAAAGAAGGGTAGAGAAGGAAGGAGAGAAGGAGGGAGAAAAAGGAGATGGAGGGGAAAGAAGAGAAAGAGGGAAATAAGAGATAAAAGGAGAGAAGAGGGAAAGAGGGAAAGGAAAGAATGAAAGAAAGAGAGAAAGAAAGAGGAAAGAGGGAATTGGAGGGGAGAAAGTAGGGATGAATGAAGGAGGAAGGGAGGAAGAAAAGGAAGAGGAAAGGGAGAGAAGGAAAAAAGAAGAGAAGGGAGGGAAGAGAAGAAGAGAAAAGGAAGGATGGAACCAAAGAGCAAAGGAAGCGAGAAAAGAAACAGGTAGAGAAGGAAGAAAGAAGAAGGGAAAGAAAAAGAGGGAAGGAAGGAGAGAAAGAGGGACGGCAGGTTGGCCTCAGCAACGCGAGTATAAATACTAAAATAAATATAGCCTTCCTACTTTGCGGATTTTGACTTTTCACGGGTGGTCCTGGAGCATAACACCGGAGATAAGTGAGGGAAGACTGTATATTATAATATTGTGTTATAATATTTGCAAGACGACTTTCTCGTTCCGGCTGACTTTTCCTCCCAGAGGATGCAGGTGTGCGACCGCAGGTCAGTCCTAAACACACACCTGTTTCCCGCTGACCCATCCGTCGGCAGAAAGGTTCAGCGAGGAAGCAGGATTTGCATGGAAAGCAATGGAGCAATCTCTGGCTCAAAGGATAGGTTGGATCCCCATCTTGTGTCGTAGAAATCACCAATAATGAAATCATAATGAAATTTCGAAAGTTTTGTTAGAGTTCCGAAATTTTCACCACCAGAACTTTAGCAACACTGTAGAAGCAAAGCACCATTTCATTATAAATGGCAGTTCTGAATAGGTTCTGTCATAACACCCTTCGGGAAGGCAAAATTCCAGCCAGCTTAAAACAAGCTGTAATAAAACCGCTGTTGAAGAAACCATCACTGGACCCCACTCAATTCGTCAACTATCGGCCTGTTTCCAATCTCCCCTTTTTGGGCAAAGTCCTGGAACGTGTGGTGGCCTCACAACTCCAGGCATTCTTGGTAGACACTGATTATCTGGATCCGGCACAGTCTGGCTTTAGGCCGGGTCATGGTACCGAGACAGCCTTGGTCGCCTTAGTGGATGATCTCCGGCGTGAGCTTGACAGGGGGAGTGTGTCCCTGTTGGTTCTGCTGGACCTCTCAGCGGCTTTCGATACCGTCGACCACGGTATCCTTCTGGGACGCCTTGCGGGAATGGGACTTGGAGGTACTGTTTTGCAGTGGCTCCGCTCATTCCTCGAGGGTCGGTCTCAGAAGGTGTTACTGGGAGACTCCTGTTCAACCCCACAACCATTGTCTTGTGGGGTTCCTCAGGGTTCAATACTGTCTCCCATGTTGTTTAACATCTACATGAAACCGCTGGGCGAGATCATCCGGAGTTTCGGAGTGGATGTCATCTGTACGCAGATGATGTCCAGCTCTGTCACTCCTTTCCACCTGCTACTAAGGAGGCTGTCGAGGTCCTGAACCGGTGCTTGGCCGCTGTGACGGTCTGTATGAGGGCGAACAAATTGAAATTGAATCCAGACAAGACAGAGGTACTCCTGGTCAGTCGCAAGACCGAACAGGGCATAGGTTACAGCCTGTGTTAGACGGGGTCGCACTCCCCCTGAAGACACAGGTTCGCAGTTTGGGTGTGATCCTGGACTCATCGCTGAGCCTGGAACCTCAGGTTTCGGCGGTGCCCAGGGGAGCATTTGCACAGTTAAAACTTGTGCGCCAACTGCGCCCGTACCTTGGGAAGTCTGACTTGGCCACGGTAGTCCACGCTCTGGTTACATCCCGTCTAGACTACTGCAACGATCTCTACGTGGGGTTGCCTTTGAAGATGGCTCGGAAGCTCCAATTGGTCCAACGATCGGAAGCCATGATTCTAACAGGAGCAGAGCGCAGGGAGTATACAACCCCCCTGTTGCGCCAGCTCCACTGGCTACCAATTTGCTACCGGGCTCAATTCAAAGTGCTGGCGTTGGCCTTTAAAGCCCTAAACGGTTCTGGCCCAACTTATCTATCCGAACGTATCTCAGCCTATCAGCCCACCAGGACCCTAAGATCTTCTGGAGAGTCCCTGCTCTCTATCCCGCCGGCTTCACAAATGCGGCTGGCGGGAACGAGAGACAGGGCCTTTTCTGTGGTGGCCCCTCGGCTTTGGAACACCCTCCCTATAGAGGTACGATCAGCCCCCTCGCTGATGGTGTTTCGGAAGAGATTGAAGACATGGATGTTTAAACAAGCATTCGGTTAATCCGTTGCAACGAATTTTGATGACTAAAGGACTGGTAATCATGGACGATGAATTTTGGATTGTGATTTTAGTTACGAGATGCATGGGATTATTATTGGTGGCCCAATAATTTGTATTGTATATGTGTTTTATGTTTTATATTGAATACTGTTTTTTAATTGTTGTAAACCGCTATGAGTCGCCGACTTAGGCTGAGA